TACATGTGTACTACCAAACGATGTACGTGCGTTGCGCGACCCAAGTACGTGCATTATGAGAACTGACGACTCAAACAGGTGCCGACAATAAATGCTTGTGCACATCTTTATTTACAATCACTAACATGTGTATTTACGTCACTATCGGACATAAAACATACCACAGCATGGTGACATAACTCCTTAACATAGTAACAATGATACGTCTTTATCGAATGTCCCATCGTAGTTGTTTCGTCATGTTTACAGCACGTGAAGATATTTGACTTTTTCCAGAGATAAGTTCATTAGAGAAAGATGTAAGGTTGCTATGATACATCAGACACTGGCAGATTCGGTATTTCGGAGACAAAAAAAAGGAGTGGCGGGGGTGGAGGGCAACTTGTTCTACCAACTCGGTGAAAGAATGCTTAAGGAGAAGAGAAGAAAAGACAGGGGAAAGGGGGACGGGGGTGTAGCCATGGCCGCCGACAGAGAGAGGAGACAGAAATAACCTACTCTTAAGTTTTCTTATATCTACGATACAGAGTACCATGCAGTAGATGAAGAATAACATTATACATGTGTTTATTTGGTAAAGGAAACTAACATACACCAAAACATTGAGTATGGTGACAATGTCACCTAAATACACCTCGAAGTTTGATAAAGTTATCAGGATTGTCGTGTCCACCGTTATTATAAATATTTGATATTGCCAACAAAGACTCTTGGAGGATGAAAAGTTAGTTGACCGAACCTCCCTCAAAACTACACGTTAATTGACCGGACTACTGTAACACATTTGTGCAGTTATCAAATGGTTCCCATTTTAGATTCAGATTAAAAAGTTGAAAAAAGTTGCTCCTGTTTCTAAATTCGAATTGTGTAATCATCAGTACACCAACAGAATGAAATCATTTTTAAACAAGATGGTGACCATTTTCGTGCCTTTCATCCAGCTGACAACACGAACATTTTGTGTTGTTTAACACCGATCTGGTTGTATTTGTTGTTTTGTTATGATGTCGAAGCAAGTTCAAGGTTTGTGATAAGACGGTCTGATAATTTAGGATTGAAGAGGAAAGAGGTAGAGCTACACAGAAATACAGCTGACTTTTCCCTGTCTGTTTGTTGTTTTTACTCCACATAATTCCGGCATCAGCTTGTTGGTGTGCGTGATGAGGGCACATCCGGGCACTGATACTAACATATTAATACTGTGTAGAGAACCACGGTGTATAATTGGCACTGCACCGACAACCACTTATCTACAAAAATGTCTCGCAACAGATAAATACAATACACATGTCTACTACATAACAGACTTGGCACCATTTGTTGGTAATGATAAAACACTATATGTAACCGAAGATTTTCCAACCAAACTTTTACACAACGAAATTCAAAATGATTGAGTGGTTCGTTATTGATTAAATGATAAATTGATTGGCATTTTAACCATCCGTCCACCCATCTATCCATCCATCCATTTTTATTTATTATGCAATATGGTTATTCATTTTACTATAAGGTATGACGCGGACATTTCAAATGAAGGATCTAATCATTTGTTTTGGAATTTTAAGGAATATATATATATATATAACTGATTTGTTTACCTTGTTTGGGAAACTTCTTACGACATATGTTTATGATTGTCCTGTGTCATGTAACGTAATGAGAGATTTGACATCAATATTAAGGAATATTTTACATTCTCTTACTATTAATGTTTCGTTTTACAACTATTCCGGGCGAAGTAACCACCGTGCTTGTAATCACACCGTAACAAGTTTCTTTGAAATGCTTAGCGTGCCTGGTATACTTTGCGAACCTGTAGACTGTACAACGGCTCTGCTAGACGACCATTATATTGATACAATCAACGTTTCCTTTATACAGAAGATTATAGCACCTGACCATAGCTTTAATTGATATGTAGAACATGCATTTACAAAGGCGTGTTTCCCATGGCACGGCGCCAGATTGAATTTCAGAGATTCACAGCCGACGGTTTTCTCGTCAAGTTTCATGCTAGTGGCAAAATGTAGTTACTTTTATTTGTTCTAGCTCCAAGTCCATTACATTCTAGAAAAGTGTACACGCTGCCACAGGAAAACCGTGTACATAGCGGTGCCGAGTTGGCGAAATGTGGAATCGGTAATAATGAAACACGCACACATGTTCATTCACATGTTGAAATTGATGTTTGGCGTTAGGAAGTACGTTCAGACCACAGGGGTTAAGTTGTTGTAGGTGTGTAATTAGCAAATGAACGTGGAAAAAAGTTGAGAGTGATATTATCCATGACCTCACGTGCATTCACGTGTATAAACTGCGTCAACATGGTGTGGTATCACAGCGTGTGTTACCTATGTTGGTGAAGACACAATACAACCGATAACATCCAAGCTCAGCATTGTTAACTTGCCAGAACACGAGTTTCAATGAAAAAAAATCCGGTTCTAAACAAAAAAGAAACACACAGAGCATACTATTCTCACAACTCGGTTCTATTGGAAAAATTTAGACATTTATGAAAAACCCCAAACACTTATTTAGTATTATTTGTAATAATTCAGGTTTGAAAATACGGCTCTGAGGTAACTCCGTCTGTAAGTTAGGTGTATTCGTTTGGGCGTTATCCAGAATCCGTATCTTTAACCTCGAACCCGCCATTAACCTCGAACCCAATAAAAGATATAGTGGAATAGTTTAGCTTATCACCAGGGAAATTATTCTGGAAAGAGATAAAGGGAATCATATTTGGATCAACTGTCATTGATCAATTGTCCTTGAACCAGACAAAATGGAAGCATATAAGATGTAAGACAAAGGAAGGATACAACAGTATGTCCCTTGTACTAGCCAAGCGAAAGCAAAGCCTTCTGTATTTACAAGCCTATTACGACCAATGATATGGCCGAGCTATGTATTCACCAGTGTATTTTGACCAATGATATGGCCGAGCTATGTATTCACCAGTGTATTTTGACCAATGATATGGCCGAGCTATGTATTCACCAGTGTATTTTGACCAATGATATGGCCGAGCTATGTATTCACCAGTGTATTTTGACCAATGATATGGCCGAGCTATGTATTCACCAGTGTATTTTGACCAATGATATGGCCGAGCTATGTATTCACCAGTGTATTTTGACCAATGATATGGCCGAGCTATGTATTCACCAGTGTATTTTGACCAATGGTATGACCAGGAACTATTCACTGTCGTATTACGACCAATGGCATGACCAGGAACTGTATTCACTGTCTTATTACGACCATTGGCATGACCGAGAAATGTATTCACTAGCGTATTTTGACCAATGACGTGACCAGGAACTGTATTCACTGTCTTATTACGACCAATGGCATGACCGAGAAATGCATTCACTAGCGTATTTTGACCAATGACGTGACCAGGAACTGTATTCACTACAACTAATGATATGACCGAGATATGTATTCACCAGTATATTTTAACCAATTGTATGATCAGGAACTGTATTTACAGTCGTATTACGACAAATGGTATGATCGAGATATGTATTCACAGTCGTATTACGACCAATGGTATGGCCGAGATATGTATTCACAGTCGTATTACGACCAATGGTATGGCCGAGATATGTATTCACAGTCGTATTACGACCAATGGTATGGCCGAGATATGTATTCACAGTCGTATTACGACAAATGGTATGGCCGAGATATGTATTCACAGTCGTATTACGACCAATGGTATGATCGAGATATGTATTCACAGTCGTATTACGACCAATGGTATGGCCGAGATATGTATTCACAGTCGTATTACGACAAATGGTATGACCAGGAACTGTATTCACTGTCGTATTACAACTAATGATATGGCCGAGATATGTATTCACAGTCGTATTACGACCAATGGTATGGCCGAGATATGTATTCACAGTCGTATTACGACCAATGGTATGGCCGAGATATGTATTCACAGTCGTATTACGACCAATGATATGGCCGAGATATGTATTCACAGTCGTATTACGACCAATGGTATGGCCGAGATATGTATTCACAGTCGTATTACGACAAATGGTATGGCCGAGATATGTATTCACAGTCGTATTACGACCAATGGTATGGCCGAGATATGTATTCACAGTCGTATTACGACCAATGGTATGGCCGAGATATGTATTCACAGTCGTATTACGACAAATGGTATGGCCGAGATATGTATTCACAGTCGTATTACGACCAATGGTATGATCGAGATATGTATTCACAGTCGTATTACGACCAATGGTATGGCCGAGATATGTATTCACAGTCGTATTACGACCAATGGTATGGCCGAGATATGTATTCACAGTCGTATTACGACCAATGATATGATCGAGATATGTATTCACAGTCGTATTACGACAAATGGTATGGCCGAGATATGTATTCACAGTCGTATTACGACCAATGGTATGGCCGAGATATGTATTCACCAGTATATTTTAACCAATTGTATGATCAGGAACTGTATTCACAGTCGTATTACGACAAATGGTATGGCCGAGATATGTATTCACAGTCGTATTACGACCAATGGTATGGCCGAGGAACTGTATTCACAGTCGTATTACGACCAATGGTATGGCCGAGATATGTATTCACAGTCGTATTACGACAAATGGTATGGCCGAGATATGTATTCACAGTCGTATTACGACCAATGGCATGACCAGGAACTGTATTCACAGTCGTATTACGACAAATGGTATGGCCGAGATATGTATTCACAGTCGTATTACGACAAATGGTATGATCGAGAACAAAACAAACTCTAACTTAGATAATAATATCAAATATATCAACATTTTAAACATGTTGATAGCGTTGGTAGAAAAATGAACACTAACACCATTGAAAAACTTAAATAATAATGAAATATGATGAAAAAATTGAAAAAAGCAACGTTACTAGCAATTCTACAAACCCATAAACACAGCTGTTACATTTTCCTTTTTTTGTCTTTCAAGCGAGATCCTGAGTTGGAGGCACAGGCGTTGGACTGGGTCGAATCTAACTATGGAAAATCTATCGACAAGAAGAGCGGACTTGAGAATGTCCTTAAAGACGGCATCATACTGTGCGAGTAAGTAGACTGACGTAGGAAAATTGACTTCCGGTTGTTGCTACTTCCGGTTATAGATAAACACATCAATTCTTTTGAAAACTATTAATTTGTCCTTAAATCAAATTCTAATATATATCTGACAATTTGAATCAAACGTTGTGGCTAATTCTAACAGAATTGGTTTATGTTTGTATTTGTCAGCATACGGTTTAGATAACTTATCCGTAAGGAACATAAAACCAAAACCATTTCTGAAATTCCTCCACTCCTATAAACTGCATTTTTATTGTAAAGGAAATAATTTTTTTATCATCGAATCCTTGTAAGTATATCTTATTCAACGAAAGTTCGAAAAAAAAACACATGTCTCGTTTAGTTATCTAATTATCTTGTATGGAATATTTTGTCGTAATATAACACACTTTGACACACACTTTGACTACTTTCGACAGACAATACTGATCTATTTTGTATGTTATCTTTTGTCTAGTATGATGAACAATCTGATGCCCGGATGCATCAAGAAAATCGACAGAAAGGGAGGCGGTTTCGCTCTTATGCAGAACCTTGGACGATTCCAGGACGCCGCAAAAAAGTATGGAGTTCCAGCGGAAGAGGTTTTCCAGACTGTTGACCTCTGGGAGAGGAAGAATATTCCCCAAGTCACGCTGTGTATTCACGCAATGGCGAGAGTGGTACGTCATTTCCGGTTACGAAATGTTTTGAAACATAATAATGGTAAACTTTGGTACGGGTCTCGAAGAAAATTGTAATGTGACACAAACATGTCAAACATCTGAGAGATGAAAATTTGGTTAACACTGTCAGAGAATTGAAATAAAAAAAAAACTGAGAATAATCACTAGTTTTCACACTGAAATGACAACATCATATGTTTTGATCAGAGTCGTTTGAACGTTTGTTATTAACCACGCTATCGTATATAGAACTTAATTTTAGTTTTAATGTTTTAGTGTAAATTCTGTTTACGTTTGGTTTAGGCACAGACGCGAGATGACTACAAGGGAATGATACTTGGACCAAAAATGGCCGAGAAGCAAGAACGTGAATTTACGGAGGAGCAACTGAGGGAGGGGCGAAACGTCATCAGCCTACAATATGGCAGCAACGAGGGTGCTTCACAAGCAGGCCTTAATATGGGCAAACAACGTTCAATCATGGATTAGGTCATATTAGGAAATATACCAGGTCATCTAGACGTTTGAAAGAATGCTAGTCTATCTTAATCCAAAGGAACCTTACTAGTGAAGTGTTCTTAGTTTTCTAGATGTGACAAAAGGAATTAACTTCATCTTTAATTCAATAAGAACAAAACATCGGAAGTTTATCGAAGAATAGCAGAAGAAAGTCATCTTTATGATATCAAGGATCCGGAGAAATATACAAGTTTATGAATGGATTTCGGGATGTGGATGTTTTTCACTTTTCACATACAATTGTGTTTCTCTGGAGAATCATTTGTGTCCTGGCGTAGTTAGAATCATATTATGTATTTTAAGACGAGAAATTAAATTATTCGACTCTGAAAGAGAATAAATGGCGAATGTGACGATTATTTATTAACATAACATGTAGACCAACCAAAATAACTGTTCATTTCATCCAGAAACTTACCATTTAGAAATATTTAAAAGTCAAATAACTTTTTATCTAAATTCACAAACAGAATTCGTTTTAAGATTGAAACGACTGTGCGTTATACTAATGACACATTGTACAACAGTACAACTGGCCTTTCCTCCCAACAGACCAACCACGCCGTTACCTTTTCTCACCTGAGATATTAGTCAGTCCTCTATATAGGGCTAAAACGTTAGAGTAGATTTATTTATAGATTTCGTAGCAATGTACAGAATGTCTAGAGGTTCTTAACAATAAAATTAAAAGCTATTCGGTAAAGCGGAGAACCGAATGTGTGTAATTTCCAGAATTTATTTTCATGGTCATATAGATTTATTTTTATTTGTTCATATTCGTATCAATATGGTTTGTTTTAATAAATAAAATCATATCATCTTAACATCACGTTTATTTTCATTTTATTTAATTAGATGTTATGTAACAATAAGGATAAATAAAAATACGAGAGCCGCGATGACTTATGAGTAGTGTTGTAAGCGATCTCGGCCGAAGATCTCGAGGTGCTTGGTTTGATCCTTACTCGGAGGAATTGGTATTCTCAAAAACTTTGAAGTTATTGTTGTGTCGCTGGCCATATCACTTCACCTGTAATACTTTAGATGACATGTGACGGGTCTCCCATATGTTGTTCAATGAGCGGACCACCAGCTATTTCAAAGAAACCCCGCCTAAAAATGACCCTCTCTGCTGACGGAGTGAACCAAACAAATTAAGTGCTTACACAGTCAAGCACATCAGCAGCATAACCAGAGTTATCGATCTTAATAGAATTTAATTTCTGCAGTAGTAACGTCCCCTAGACCAGAACACTGTTGATAATGTAACAGTTCTCGTGTATGCCTTTAGTTCTATTGGATGTTGCAGTTCCGTTTTTTTATATTGTATATAAAAAAGAAGAAAACAACGACAACAACAACAGTAGGAGATATCAAATATAAAAAAGTTTTATCATATAGGATTTATATATTATTTTGAATAATCACAAGACATACACCAGAACACAAAAGATTAAGAATACAATTTAAATCATGATGCAAGGAATTGAAGATGACTTACAAGATTTATACTATAAAATATTTTAGACAAAACTCACGCCACCTTACAAGCCATATAAGCCTCGAGTGTTATTACATCATACATCAGGGTAGTTTTCTAAAAAAAACCCATTCAGTATCGGTCGATATCAATGTTTATGATATACTCAAACCCTGACAAGGTCCTACACACTAACAGCTTTTATCTGCTTTGTACTCTCTGATATACAGCATTGATAAAAATCGTCTGATCTGATGGACAGGATTACGAACGGTTGGATGTACTGAGAGGGGCCGATCACAAAGAAGGTGGGTATGGTATTCACTGTTGTATGAATTCGACCAGCATATATGAAACATCGACCTTATTCTCTAAACTCTGGGTATTATTAATAGATAAACTGAAATCAGTGTTTAATTTTGCTGGTCAAAGATGTGGAGTCGTTCAAAGAAGCATGCGATGGTGAAAATATTAAGAATGTGAAGACATTTTCATGACGAAGAATTAATATTTATAGATCGTCTTAGGCAAAGAAAGAGCTGTCAGGCATGTACGAATGTCGCGAAGAGACATGTTATTTTTACTACACCCAAGTGGCTGAGAGTCCGGCACAAGTGAACAACACCTTTCAATCCAAATTTAGAATTACATAGTCAAATAATGAATTAAACGACACCGTGTAGCTGTTTCGGCCTCCTACAACTCGTCAGTGCTGCATAAGGGTTAAATAATTGAAACATAGGAGACGACTAAGGAAATTGAAAATTGGTCGCACCAAATGTCAAGTTTTTCTACTTCCGAAGCTTGATGGCAAATTTTCTCTCTCGCGCTTGCTTTGTCCCAGTATGATTGCAGTAACAATAAATATTTGTTCTCTTGTTTGCACACTCGCATATCGTCCCCGCAAAACTTTATCGAGTTCAACGTACTGAATTCATTCTAAAAAGATGTAGAATATATATATGTCATAATACAAAATACAATTCTGGTATCCCGCTATTCACCAATAGTTATCGTTCGGCAATAGAACTCTGATCCCAGTAGAGAATGACAAAGTCAAAATGGCAAAGTTTTAAAATAATATATATTTGTGTACCGGTCAGACATATCTACATAGATATATGTAAATGTTTGGCAAGAATTTCAATGTATGATACACATTTTTTATTTTGAATTTCTTTCTAAACAGGAACATTATTGGTTACACAAATATACCAACCATCCCAGTTTTGGGAAATGTACTTTAAAAATGGAACAACATATGACAGTGACTAGTCGAAGTCTTGTGTGCGTGTCTTAACCTACGAGGAAAAATATCGCCAAATATTTCATATAAAAAGAAATTGAAAATGTCAGGGCAAGTTCCTATCCGCTATCCAGGTTTGTCCACGTATAAATATGTACAACACATTGATAAAACTCTAGACTGGGTTCGTAAGACATGTGATAACGTCATATGTGGCAAATGTGTGTATACGTCACACAGAAATCATGACTGCATTCTACTGAGTGACATTACTCCCGATAACACACGTGAAATAAAAACTCATATAGATGAATTGGAAAAAACATAACCTGCTTGAAATTCAACAGGAAATCGATCTCATCGAGGATAACCTCGGGGAACACTTGAAACACTTCGAGAGTTTAGCTGAAGAAGTCAAAGAGCTAGGCCAGATGATAAAAGCAGATATTGATCTTCTAACAGCCGAAACACTCTCCCAGCTTATACAATTAGAGGATAAAAATACTCAAATCTTTGAAAGTTATAAGACAAAACTGGAAAAGAAACTATCGGCACTAAACGATCAGCTTAAAAGAAGCAAGGAAACTCTATAGATAGACAAAAATATCCAAGACATCCTAACAGAATCCCATACCAAGATAACGGAAAAACCAGACATGGGTACCGTCAAATTTATTCCAAAACAAAACTGCAGATGAAATTCTTGAGCAAGCATTTGGAAAGGTTACCCTGGAACAATCTGGACAACCTCAAGGTCAGTATGTTAGGAAGAAATCATCCAACCTCGCCTCTGATAGGTCACAGATAACAGGACAATGTCTTCTGATGTCTTCCTAGGTAGAAGAGGCGGGTGATGACAATACAAAGACGGCACAACTTCTACTACAGACCAAAGAGCTTTCCGACTGGAAAACTAAAAATGGCATCATTTCTATCTGTTCTGTAGACACCGATCACGTGTGGTCAAGCGATAGATTTAGCAACATTGTAACACAACTAACCAGCAAAGGAGAAGTAAAACAGACAGTACACAGTCCTGTTAGTGTTAAAGATATCTGTATATCTCAGACTTCCAACAAATTCTGGATGTTCTGACAAAGAAAACACAGACCGACCCCTGAATACAACACGGTTATTGAGAAGCAGGAAGGTGCTTATTTCCTACAGGACAAACCGACCCAACATACGGCTCGGTTATTGAGAAGCTGGAAGGTGCGTATTTCCTACAGGACAGACCGACCCAACATACGGCTCGGTTATTGAGAAGCTGGAAGGTGCGTATTTCCTACAGAATAGAGTGACTCCACATACGGCTCGATTATTGAGAAGCTGGGAGGTGCTTATTTCCTACAGAATAGAGTGACTCCACATACGGCTCGATTATTAAGAAGCTGGGAGGTGCTTATTTCCTACAGGACAAACCGATCCCACATACAACACAGTTATTGAGAAGCAGGAAGTTGCTTATTTCCTACAGAATAGAGTGACTCCACATTCGGCTCGATTATTAAGAAGCTGGGAGGTGCTTATTTCCTACAGGACAAACCGATCCCACATACAACACGGTTATTGAGAAGCTGGGTGGTGCTTATTTCCTACAGGACAAACCGATCCCACATACAACACGGTTATTGAGAAGCAGGAAGGTGCTTATTTCCTACAGGACAGACCGACCCAACATACGGCTCGGTTATTGAGAAGCTGGAAGGTATTTACATACGTCTCGATTGCCTATTTCCGACAGGACACAGAATCTTTGTCTCCTTCATTCACATGATATGCAATAAACAAATTTTCACGGGACATGTCCGCTGGATGCAGTTGCTGCTAGGGTCCAAGCAAAGGCTTTGGCTTCAATTTCAAAACAAGAACATAATTCTGGGCACATTTGTAAAGGTCAATATTCCGAAATACACAAGCATTCAACACCATTAGTGAGGTGCCCTTTACTTTTAAGAAATGTTTTAGTTTCATTTGGTATCAAATGTCTTTTTGTTCGGTCATTAAAACATATTGAAATTTATTTAGTTTTTATAATTGTTTAGTTTTTCGTTATTAATTGACTATTAGTTGAAGTATGTAATGAAATATGAACTAAGTGACCTGACTATACACCGTAATAAAACATTCGCTGTCTGATGAATAGACAACACAAAGAGACAATGTCCTAATTCATTAATTTTTTCGTCCTGAAAACACGTGTGACTAACAATGAATTAACGCGCTTTCTCTTTATCCGCGTTTTTCCACGGCGAACATAGAATAAGGTATTCTAATGCAGGGTCTTTTTTACCGAGAAGTCAGCGCCAGCCTACACATGTAGCCTCGTTAGAAAGAGGCGTCTATAAAACGGAAGGCACAATTTGGTATTCATACAAGTTAACATGAGATATATCATATGAAGTAGTCATAAAATGTATCAAACACGTACAGACAAATATAGTATCATATCTCATATTGACTTAAGATAGTAGGAGATACAATACTCTGATGTATGTTTGTAGATAATATTCATTAACAACATCTGTAGATTGTAGCATCGCAGGCTATTGTGTTTCAATGTGAAATCAATGTATTCCTACAGTGTAGTAAACATCGTTGCTGGACAGCAAACGGGAATAAAATGTAGCTTGCATGTATAATGTCGGTAGAAAATAAATTACGGCACTGTCCGTAGTCGGAGTCGGACAACATGCGAGTACCACCCACATCTGCTAGAAATGTGACGTCATCATATGTCCCAAATGTGTATCTCTACACCAAAGGGTCGTGGTAATATGCTACAGAATGAAAACGGTTTCTGGGAAAAATCGTTTATAAACGGGACCGAACACAACGAGCTAATTCAAATTCAACATCAAATCGATTCTACCAAGGACACTTGGAACACTTGGAGAGCGTACGGAAGAAGATAACGAGGAGAAAAGAAGACATTGTTGATTTTATCAACCAAATCTTTTCTCAACTGAAACTTTTAGGAGATGAAAATATGCAAATTCTCGCTGAATACAAGGCAGATCCGGAAGTAATTAGCGCAACTAAACAAACAAGATAAACGATACAAGAGAAATATTTCAGGCTGGCACAAACCTTCAAGG